TATTGCTACCACTGTATCAAAGGTATTATCTAAGTGAGTTTCAGAGATAGTCAGAATATGTATATCATCTGTTACTAGCAAATTATTGATTTCATGAACCTTGTTTCTTAAGCTACATATGTTAACGTGGGCTATTTTGAGCACTTTTCTTCTGGGATGCTTATTTGTTTTTAATGCTTTACTGGGAAGCTTAGCAGCAGTAGATGTGCTCATGTTCTTTATGTTAGTGCAGGGTGAGCTGCACACAGTGGACTTCCTCCTTGGGCACACCGGCTCAGTGCTAACAGTATAAATCTGGATCTTAGGCACATGATTACTGTATACAATAGCTGTAGGATCAGCAGAGGCATTCAGGGCAGCTAGAGGGACATAAATTAGGTTACAAATATTGTGTCTACCAACGCCGCTGGTGTAAGGTACATTTGCTGAAGCGTTTTGACAACTCTGCGTCACAATGGTAGGGATTAGCTGAGCTGGACTTGGGTCATTGTTAAGTCATTGTCTCAACGCATCCTTATAATGCTGTGAAAGGATCCAGGAACCCAAATGATTTGGGTGGATCCCATCCTCCTTATAAAACGTGTTTTGATTCCAAAAGGTATCGAAATTGTCAACAAAAGTTACACCCATTGAGCTGCAATAATCACGTAGCCAGTTGTGAAGAGCAAGAATCCTGCTAAAGCGTTCAATGCCACGATTCAGAGAAGGCACGGGGCCAGATATTTTGGGTTTTTTGTTAGTGTCTAGCAGAGAGTCAATCAGCGCTTTAAAATCCAGTTTCAACTGTTCAGAGCTGCCCTTCATAATGTCATTAAAACCCACATGGACTACGATAGAATCGATTTCCATGTCCTGGTGTAGTACATTCAGGAGCAGCTTAGTAATGTCATTTATTCGAGCTCCGGGATAGTTCTTGCACCAGGAACGGTCACATTTCTTACCATGGAGCTGCCCAAAATCACGGCTGGCGAGAAGGACGAGGAAATCCGCCCACTCCCACGCTTCACAGGATGCATGGCTCCGACAGGTGGAGAAGCCCCGCTCGATCCAGAGCAGGGACGGAAGGTTGTCGACGTCGACTTTAAAATCGTAGTAGTAGGCACTGCGGCCGCAGACACAGGCACCCCCAGCAACGAAGGTGCAGGAAGATCAGGCTCCAGGACGGCGAAACTATTTGTTGTTTGTATCCGCTCCAGGCCTCTCGTTGGGAGTGTAGACTGCTTTACGGGAAGTCGCTGTCTTCGGCTTCCACGGCTCGTAACATGCGACCATCGTTGATTGCCTTTCTCCTCATGCTGTGCTCCTTCGACGGCGCTATCAGATGGGGGAGCTCTGGGCAACACCGGCCAGTCAGATAACGACAAACTACAAGGCGGAGATGCATCCAACAAGCGCGAACGCCATCCAGCCACCGGCGTAGAAAATGTTAACATTCCACTCTGCGTTTTCCCCAGTTTCTTACGTAGGCTGGTGACCTGCGTGATCAAGGAAGCCACCTCAAGCCTATAATCCTCAGCAAGTAAACAATTGCCGCATTGGAACTCAGAGTGATCCGGTTTGTCCCGAAACAAAGCGTAATAGATACAGCTCCTACAGCGCTGGAACCGTTCAATTAGTTCTCCAGACAAAGAGGGCTCCATTGTAAAACTCATCTGGTACCAACTTCGTTAGCTTGATGGCTAGCAGCTTAGCGTCTCTGTCAAGCAGACTTCAACCTGTCTCTTAAGCGGGATTCCGGGACAAGAAATAGCGGTCCTAGCTGTTAAAAGCAGAATCCATGCAAAAACAAGTTCTGTATTCGTATTTATGAATAGCCTTTTTGTTTTAATAAAAAATAACAAACCGAGTGGATTTCAAAGTATGCGGTTAGCGGTTTACAATATTGGCTATTATTTGGTTCAGAGCCTGACCTCTCTTGGCTCTCCCTCCTCACACCAATGAGAAGAAGAGACCTGCTTGGGCCAAGAAACATGAGCAATGGACATTAGACCGGTGGAAATGTGTCCTTTGGTCTGGAGTCCAAATTTGAGATTTTTGGTTCCAACCGCTGTGTCTTTGTGAGACATGGTGTGGGTGAACGGATGATCTCTGCATGTGTAGTTCCCACCGTAAAGCATGGAGGAGGAGGTGTTATGGTGTGGGGGTTCTTTGCTGGTGACACTGTCGGTGATTTATTTAGAATTCAAGGCACACTTAACCAGCATGGCTACCACAGCATTCTGCAGCGATACGCCATTCCATCTGGTTTGGGCTTAGTGGGACTATCATTTGTTTTTCAACAGGACAATGACCCAACACACCTCCAGGCTGTGTAAGGGCTATTTTACCAAGAAGGAGAGTGATGGGAGTGCTGCATCAGATGACCTGGCCTCCACAATCACCCGACCTCAACCCAATTGAGATGGTTTGGGATGAGTCGGACAGCAGAGTGAAGGAAAAGCAGCCAACAAGTGCTCAGCATATGTGGGAACTCCTTCAAGACTGTTGGAAAAGCATTCCAGGTGAAGCTGGTTGAGAGAATGCCAAGAGTGTGCAAAGCTGTCATCAAGGCAAAGGGTGGCTATTTGAAGAATCTCAGATATAAAATATATTTTGATTTGTTTAACACTTTTTTGCTTACTACATGATTCCATATGTGTTATTTCATAGTTTTGATGTCTTTACTATTATTCTACAATGTAGAAAATAGTAAAAATAAAGAAAACCCCTTGAATGAGTAGGTTTGTCCAAACTTTTGACTGGTACTGTATGTCAAACAAAAACCAATAATTTCAAAGTGAAACATACCATACAAGGACTACTTTTAACAATTTGCAATCATTGGTTTGTTTGACATACATTTTAAAGTGTATGTCAGAATCACTCTTACCGTATAATTGCCCTGTACCAATACACACCACTTGTCAGTCAGCATGGCTCAGTATTGAACAGCTTGCTGTCATTTTATGCCCAACCCACCTCGTGGAGAGCTATCCTCCTCTAGGTTTTCACTTCTTCCCTTACCTACACTGCTCATATTCTTTAGGAATGACTATCACATACATTCAGTATAGAACAATCTTTCTAGCCAATAGACAGCAGCTGGTCATCATCTTTCTACGTGACAAATGTCCTTTGCACAATGCCTTCATACAGCATCAAATACATTTGAGGAACTCTCAGTATGGTGGATGTCATGGTTACCTGCAGGAAGTCCCCAGAGTGCTGTGCATAGAGGAGAGCCAAGGTAACCTACATGGAACAAAATGGACTCCTGTATCTCCTGTCTCTGTCAGCTGAGCAGAGAACAACTTCACCACCACATATTCGTGACAGTGGACCTGCATGGAAAGAGGGATGGAGAGAGAGAAATGGTTTAAGGTCGTTCTCATTTATTGCAACTGCACAAAAACTGACAGAGTAAAAGTTATCAAATCTTTATTTTAATCAGATTGGATTTCAAAGTATGTGGTTAATGGTTTACAATATTGGCTATTACTTGGTTCAGAGCCTGACCTCTCTTGGCTCTCCCTCCTCAATCACTGACCCCCATCCCTGCCTGTTCTCTCCCTGCCTCTCCCCCTCTTCTGCCACCCAGTCATGCTGGTATTCCAAGTCCTCCTCCTCTACTAAATCCCTCCTCGATTTAGGTACAATGCTCTTATTTAAACCAGTGAGGGTATAGAAAACGAAACCACCTTGGCTTTGGTTAAACCACACGGTTAAACGTTAGCTAGCTAGCTACTGTTAGCTAGTTAGCTTCCTAGCTAGCTGTTGTTAACCTAGCTTGCCTCATCAATAGCCTGCTTTAATAACAGAAGACCAAATAACTACTTACCCAATTTCAATATTGAAATCATAGTTGGTTAGCTAGTTTCTCTACTGAAAAACGATGGAACTTACCTCTTTACTATTGTCAGACATCGTTCACCTTTCACCGTCCCCTTTCATCTCTATGGTAAAAAATCAGATTAGATAGCAGTCAAGCCGTGATTGGTCCAAAAAACCTGACCAATTGCGTTTCAGTAGATTGCTACAGGTTATGTTCATTGGCTAGAATTATAATTATACCTATTATACAATTACAGTAAGCAGTTGCGAAAGCAAAATGGATTTTGGAGAGCAAAATTGGAAAATTGGTGTGAGAGGGAGAAAAGACATCCGTGTGGGGATGCGGAGTATTTGTGAGAGTGCAGTCTTGACATGTAGTAAGTATTTCTTCAGGCGAACAAATATCTCCTCTCTCGAATTAATTTACTGCATGTGGAAAAGTAGTTGTGCTCGCGCAAAATCACACTCGCAAGCTTTCAAGTTTAATTTGCGCGCACCACGCTGGCCTGCGCTCGTGGGACCCTTCTGCTCGCTCGACCACATTTCTTCTCTCTCGACTCAAGTGTTTGCTCGCGCAATGATGTTTCATCTTGCTCACGCCCGTAGTCTCGCGCCCATTCGACTTTTTAATTGGATTTGACACCATATACTTGTACATCAAGCTGCCTCATGCTACAGAAACAGGAGATAGGCTCCTACTGAGCTGTTGCGGCTTTTACAGATTGGCATTCGCCAAGTCTCCAAATAGGTATACTGTGTTGTTAACAAATGGCATATTTGCTTTCACTGAATATTTCAGAGCTTCTGAAAGCTATCATAAATATGGAGGAGTTGTGGCACTGAGAGATCATCTTCCACAGAAACTGCGATATGGCCAATCTCTCTATAGATACACTGAGTGTACAAAACATTAGGTTCACCTTCCTAATATTGAGTTGCACCCCCTTTTGACCTCAGAACAGTCTCAGTTCGTCTGGCCCATGTTGACTCCAATGACGCCAACAGTTGTGTCAAGTTGGCTGGATGTCCTTTGGGTGATGGACCATTCTTGACACACATGGGAAACTGTTCAGCATGAAAAACCCAACAGCGTTGCAGTTCTTGACACACTCAAACCGATACGCCTCCTAGAAATGGGAGGAGGATGAATTGTTTACCGGCTGCACCAGCACGTTGTTCTTTCCAAACAGCAGGGTGGCTCTGTTGCTCTGATGCAGTGACTCCACGTAGTCCCGGGCTGAAGGTGAGGGCCGTTCCTCCATGCTGGTACTGGAATGCCTCTTCTGGATCTGGAAACACAGACAGTGTGTATGTTTTTACCCCCATCCCAATCCATCCACCCATCCATCTATCCAGTGTCCATATATTGGCCAGTTAGTTTAACACATCACTGGTGCAAAATGAATGTATCATGCCATATTGTTCATCCACCATTGAGCACATTTAGTTTATTTCATACTGTTAACCACAATGATCACCCACTGGGAATGAATTAGCAACGGCTAATCAAGTGTTATAATGTTACCCAGCTTATACAGCTCTTAGAACCCTTTCAGCCATGTATTTGATTTCAGGCTACTACACTGGTGTGTAGGATGAGATAAGACTTGTATTTCTCACAGACACGAACACTGCCTCTTTGTGATCTGTGAACCGTCCAAGGATGTGTACTGCAAAAAGGTGCTGACTCTACAGGTTGTGATGTTAACAACTTATGCCTGGCAACAGTGTGCAACCAAGGGCCTGGGACAAGCCTGTGCGCCAACGGATAGGCTGAGTAAGTCTAAACCACGCTCAGTCTCTACTCTGATTGGCCAGCAGGGAGCAGGAACTATCTCTGTCAGAGTATTTTAAGAAGAACTCATAACAATGGCTTAGTTCTCTGAGTGCCCTGCGTGGTATTTCAGTGGACCCGTATATACGAACATCATATTTACCATTGAAGTGGTTTGCATTAATTAAAATACTAGTCTATTTTAGAAGACGTGTATTGACCTCTTTTGTTCCTAATACCAGATTTGAATTGACGCAACTTAACACTGGCTCAAATGATGTAACATCAAAAATGTGTTTGGTTGATTGAAGAAAAAACACTTCCCACTCTGTTTCTGATGACAAAGCCCATTATGTTTGCCTCTAGGGTACAAAAGATACAGTGCTGCAATAAACCACTCTCAGTTGTCAACGTAGAATGAGAATGTGCTACGTGGTGAGATGTTTCTAGCTGCAGGGGTCAATGACAATGTGAAGAGTTCCAGAAAATACACTCCGTCCTCTCCCACGGGACGTAATGTGCTCCTTAATGCATTGACAACAGCAGGTCTTCTTCTACTGAAAGAGATAGGCTGGGGGAGGCTTCAATGACAGGATTGGTCACGGATATCCCCGCTACGTTTGAGCTAATAGTGTGCAGTGTCAGCAAAACAAAGACATTAAATAATCAATAGAGCAATGTATACCAGGTCATGGTCAATCCTGTTTGGTGGAGTAGTGGGACAATATTTAGACCCCCTACCCTTCCCAGGAAACTTACACAGAGGTCAGGCCTCTTGGTGGGGGAGTCCTGTCTGCAGTGGCCACTGTGGATGCGGTGTCTCTGGACCAGCTCGTCGGCCGAGGGGTCTGTCCAGAAGTGGTCCGCCGTCTTCATCTTTGTGTACTCCAAGGCACAGGGCCCCACTGCCAGAGTACAGAACAATGGCGTGAAAAGACATATCGGTGGCCAGTGTGAGGAGAATCACTTACATTAATTGGTGCCCTGTGTGAGAGGAAATCCCCTACTACACTGGTATACTGTCTGAGATGAGATGTATGTGAATAAAAGCTTAACAATGTGGAATCATTACCTAACAAAGAGGCCAGAATGGGTCCGTCCACCGGATCCATCAGAACGGCCTCTTTTTCGTAGAATTTACTGGAACATAAAAACGTGATGGAGGTGAGCCGTGCATTTCTGGATTTGCTTTTCCTCCTCCCTGCAGGTGACCATGCCATTTCACCCTCCTGTGACTCACCTGCTGTTCTCCACGAGGTAGAGCACGATCTTGTCCAGCACCTTCTCGATGAGGGCCGTGCGGATCCAAAGGTTTCTGACCACCTGCGGGCTGAGGCTGGGCAGCCTGGACAGTCTCCGTAAGCTATCCTGGTTGGGCAAACTTTGGTTCCGTCTGCAATGTAGAAACAGGGGAGAGGGAGGGAGGAACTCAGAGGCTACTTTTGGTTAACCATGGCAATTTTATACCAGTGATCATTTCTTATGTTACACCTGCATTGCATCAGTAAACTATAATTATGTGTGAGTAGAGATCGTGTTAAGGACTTGTTAGCAGTAATATACAGTAACAGCTTTTTGCTTTTGAGTGCTATGGTCTGTGTCTGTACAGGGATCCGGTGGTGTGTGTGTGTGTGCGCTCTCACTTGCTCTCCATGATCTGTTCCAGCTCCTGAGCCTTCCTGCACAGCTCCTCTGCCGGGGCAAAGCTCTTCCCCACCTTCATGAAGAGCGCTGCTATCTTGTTGCTACGCAGGAAGCCCGCCGCTCGCCGCTTAAGCCCATGGAGAACGCACGCCTCCACAGCAGCTGCACACACACACAAACAAACAGGCACAGAAATAATATTACATTTCAGAATATAGATGAGAAACAGTTTAGGAGAGTTCACTGAAACTTGTCACCATTATGAATCTTTATGTTCTCTATTTTAATCTTTCATTCAACTTTATTAAAAATGTAATATCACTGTATGATGCTGGTGGTGAGTTAAAATACATTATAAGACGTACAATGATGAATGGACACCACAGGAGGCTGCTGAGGGGAGGACGGCTCATAATGTCTGGAATGGAGTGAATGGAATGGTATCAAACACATGGAAACTACGTGTTTGATGAGTTCGATACCATTCAATTTATTGCGTTCCAGCCATTACTATGAGCCGGTCCTCCCCAATGAAGGTGCCACCAACCTCCTGTGTGTCACGTCTCCTCCAGTTGCTCCCCTCCGGCGCTCTGATTCGCCGGTCTACTGAGCCACCGGGCTGAGCGCACCAGCTCGGCAACACCGGAATGGAAACCCAACGCACCCTAAGCACCTCCAGCGCACCTGAACCTCATCATCTCATCACCACCTCTATATAGCCCTGGACTGTTCAGTGTTGTGTTGTGTGTGATTGTTAGTGTCTTGTCATGTACTCGCTCTTTGTTGTTCTCTTGCTCAGTGTTAAGTAAACCTTTACATTGTTGATTCCTGCGTCTGCGTCCTGCCTCTTCGTATTCTCAGTACTTGTCACACTGTGATGCACACAAATGTAGTGTCAGTAGGGGGATCCACATTCTAAAAAAACACCTCCACCATGTAACCACCATTATACTGTGTTGTAAAAAATTTGATCCATGGTCATAGATAAAAATCTGTCAACACCCATTGAGAATCTGCATATTATAGTACTTAGCTTGTGTAATTGTGACTGAGCCGTATGATGGACACTTCAGACAAAGCTCTGCGGCTTGAGGCTGTTATGAAAAGTGGGTCAAATATGCCAATTATTTTTATTACGTTATCCTTAAACATAATTATATTTTCCTAAGCCGAGAGCTTATCCAGTAAACACAAGTGCACACACACACGAACAGACATCTTTCTATAAGGCCTACGTGGCAGTGGCTTGAGCAGTTTTGACATTTGAGCTCTCTCTCAGGACTAATCCTGTGGTTCTGTTAGCATGGGGAAGGCCGTGGTTGTCATGGAAACCCCTGCTGATGGAGTGCTCCAGCGCTGAGTGTCTCTCTCTCTCTCTCTTCTTTTTTATTTTTACAAACCCACATCAAATAACCAGATTACACCAGGATAAAGGCATATTTTTCAGGACTACAAAAATACATGTAATAAATTCCCTTTTTCAATCCGTATAAAACCTGACCATGACTCCCTAAAATATGCCTGCCTGTAGCTCAGTTGGTAGAGCATGGCGCTTCCAACGCCAGGGTTGTGGGCTCGTTTCCCACGGGGGGCCAGTATGAAAATGTATGCACTCACTAACTGTAAGTCGCTCTGGATAAGAGCGTCTGCTAAATGACTAAAATGTAAATGTAGTTTCAACCAACTTTGCCCACCGGCTGTACAATACAGACATAACCTAGCCTATATTAAAATCATTACCATACCATGTCCATTAATGCACTGAATAACTAAACTATACTTATGTCTTAAAATAGCATCAACTGTAAACAGTATTTTAAAATCTAAATAAAAACGGAGTAATCAGAGTTCATAAAACAACGTAATCTTCATATACAGTACCAGTCAAAAGTTTGGACACACCTACTCTTTATTTTTTTACTATTTTCTACATTGTAGAATAATAGTGAAGACATCAAAACTATGAAATAACACATATGGAATCATGTAGTAACCAAAAAAGTGTTAAACAAATCAAAATACAGTGGCTTGCGAAAGTATTCACCCCCTTGGCATTTTTCCTATTTTGTTGCCTTACAACCTGGAATTAAAATTGATTTTTGGGGGGTTTGTATCATTTGATTTACACAACATGCCTACCACTTTGAAGATGCAAAATATTTGTTCTTGTGAAACAAACAAGAAATATAAAAAAAATAAACACAAAACTTGAGCATGCATACCCACCCCAAAGTCAATACTTTGTAGAGCCACCTTTTGCAGCAATTACAGCTGCAAGTCTCTTGGGGTATGTCTCTATAAGCTTGGCACTGGGATATTTGCCCATTCTTCAAGGCAAAACTGATACAGGTTTCCCTCAAGAATTTCCCTGTATTTAGCGCCATCCATCATTCCTTCAATTCTGACCAGTTTCCCAGTCCCTGCCGATGAAAAACATCCCCACAGCATGATGCTGCCACCACCATGCTTCACTGTGGGGATGGTGTTCTCGGGGTGATGAGAGGTGTTGGGTTTGCTTCAGACTTAGCGTTTTCCTTGATTGCCAAAAAGTTCAATTTTTGTCTCATCTGACCAGAGTACCTTCTTCCATATGTTTGGGGAGTCTCCCACATGCCTTTTGGCGAACACCAAACATGTTTACTTATTTTTTTCTTTAAGCAATGGCTTTTTTCTGGCCACTCTGCCATAAAGCCCAGTTCTGTGGAGTGTACAGCTTAAAGTGGTCCTATGGACAGATACTCCAATCTCCGCTGTGGCTCTTTGCAGCTCCTTCAGGGTTATCTTTGGTCTCTTTGTTGCCTCTCTGATTAATGCCCTCCTTGCCTGGTCCATGAGTTTTGGTGGGCGGCCCTCTTTTGGCAGGTTTGTTGTGGTGCCATATTCTTTCCATTTTTTAATCATGGATTTAATGGTGCTCCGTGGGATGTTCAAAGTTTCTGATATTTGTTTATAACCCAACCCTGATCTGTACTTCTCCACAACTTTGTCCCTGACGTGTTTGGAGAGCTCCTTGGTCTTCATGGTGCCGCTTGCTTGGTGGTGCCCTTTGGTTAGTGGTGTTGCAGACCCTGGGGCCTTTCAGAACAGGTGTATATATACTGAGATCATGTGACAGATCATGTGACACTTAGATTGCACACATGTGGACTTTATTTAACTAATTATGTGACTTCTGAAGGTAATTGGTTGCACCAGATCTTATTTAGGGGCTTCATAGCAAAGGGGGTGAATACATATGCACGCACCACTTTTCCGTTAATTATTTTTCATACTTTTTTTAAGCAAGTTATTTTTTTCATTTCACTTCACCAATTTGGACTATTTTGTGTATGTCCATTACATGAATCCAAATAAAAATCCATTTAAATTACAGGTTGTAATGCAACAAAATAGGAAAAACGCCAAGGGGGATGAATACTTTTGCAAGGCACTGTATATTTTATATTTGAGATTCTTCAAATAGCCACCCTTTTCCTTGATTACAGCTTTGCACACTCTTGGCATTCTCTCAACCAGCTTCATGAGGTAGTCACCTGGAATGCATTTCAATTAACAGGGGTGCCTTCTTAAAAGTTAATTTCTTTAATTTCTTTCCTTCTTAATGGGTTTGAGCCAATCAGTTGTGTTGTGACAAGGTAGGGGGGTATACAGAAGATAGTCCTATTTGGTAAAAGACCAAGTCCATATTATGGCAAGAACAGCTCAAATAAGCAAAGAGAAACGAAAGTCCATCATTACTTTAAGAAATGAAGGTCAGTCAATCCGGAACATTTCAAGAACTTTTAAAGTTTCTTCAAGTGCAGTCGCAAAAACCATCAAGCGCTATGATGAAACTGGCTCTCATGAGGACCGCCACAGGAAAGGAAGACCCAGAGTTACCTCTGCTGCAGAGGATAAGTTCATTAGAGTTACCAGCCTCAGAAATTGCAGCCCAAATAAATGCTTTCCAGAGTTCAAGTCACAGACACATCTCAACATCAAATGTTCAGAGAGGCCTGTGTGAATCAGGCCTTCATTTTCTATTACATTTTAGTCATTTAGCAGACGCTCTTATCCAGAGCGACTTACAATTAGTGAGTGCATACATTTTTCATACTGGCCCCCCATGGTCGAATTGTTGCAAAGAAACCACTACTAAATGACACCAATAAGAAGAAGAGACCTGCTTGGGCCAAGAAACACGAGCAATGGACATTAGACCGGTGGAAATCTGTCCTTTGGTCTGGAGTCCAAATTTGAGAGTTTAGGTTCCAACCACCGTGTCTTTGTGAGCGGATGATCACTGTATGTGTAGTTACCACCGTAAAGCATGGAGGGGGAGGAGGAGGTGTTATGGTGCGGGGGTGCTTTTCTGGTGACACTGTGATTTATTTAGAATTCATGGCACACTTAACCAGCATGACTACCACAGCATTCTGCAGCGATACGCCATCCCATCTGGTTTGGGCTTAGTGGGACTATCATTTGTTTTTCAACAGGACAATAACCCAACACACCTACAGGCTGTGTAAGGGCTATTTTCCCAAGAAGGAGAGTGATGGAGTGCTGCATCAGATGACCTGGCCTCCACAATCTCCCGACCTCAACCAAATTAAATTGAGATGGTTTGAGATGAGTCGGACGGCACTGAAGGAAAAGCAGCCAACAATTGCTCAGCATATGTGGGAACTCCTTCAAGACTGTTGGAAAAGCATTCCAGGTGAAGCTGGTTGAGAGAATGCCAAGAGTGTGCAAAGCTGTCATCAAGGCAAAGGGTGGCTATTTGAAGAATCTCAAATCTCAAATATATTTTGATTTGTTTAACACTTTTTTGGTTACTACATGATTCCATGTGTGTTATTTCATAGTTTTGATGTGTTCACTATTATTCTACAATGTAAAAAATAGAAAAAATAAAGAAAAACCCTTGCATGAGTAGGTGTGTCCAAACTTTTGACTGTAGTGTATATATTTACTATATTTTCCAACTGTTCTGTAGCTTTGTAATCCTAATGTTGGAGCAGTGTTGTGTATACACTCACTAATACAGTATGTACTCCACCTTTCCTCTCTCTCTCGTCCTTCCTTTCTCTTTATCTTGGTGCACCTCTGTTTTCTTCCTTATTATTACAGGAGCGAGAAACGTAGTTCCGTGACAAAGATGTCTCAATAGGATTCCCCTCGTCTTTCAAACTACTAGAAATTACACTCCAATAATGAAAAGAAATAAGCATTTCCAGAGGGTGAAACCTCCTTGGCTTCGTGGTACTTAGGCCTAACATAACCCCGGGAGCCATGCAACCAAAGCAATATCCATTGTGTCATAAACCCTGTGGTTAAAGCACTCACATAGGAAATAAGTGGCTGGACCCTGTCCACTTTCCACACAGGCACTCTTATTTCTAAGGTAATTACAGCTACTGAAGTAATGACCCCTAATCAGCCCCGTATCTGTGGCAACAGAACACATTAGGGGACTCAGACTGTCTGTGTTGCCACTGACCAGGAATTCTCAGCACTATGACACAATCAACACATTCTAAATATGGCCAACCACACTATTGGCTTAGATGAATTCTTCAATGTGCCAACATCATGCCTACCCTGGGTGTCAGTCTGTGTCTGCTCTCTTGCCATATCCTTATTGAATTGGTATGACCACTTTGAGAAAGATACACCTTTAAAGCTTGGCTTCATTAACAATTGAATTACAGAGATCCTATTAAATTAGTATTCTAATTCCATGTTTGACTATCTCTCTCACAGCAATGTGAAGGGAAGAAAAGAATAGCTATTTTGGTGAGGAAGAAGGGACGGGCAAGTGGCTAACATTTGACATTTCCCGGGCTCTCCTGCCTTGGCGACTTGAATATGTGACCATGATGATAGAGGCTAATTACTCCCCGCTGACCTGCCTGAGCAAGTCCTTGCCTCACGCCTTCCCTTTCCCCCTCCCCTCCACTCGCCCTCCATCTCCATCCTGTGATCTCTGCACACAGACACATTTGTGTGACAGCTTGATGTAAAACCTGATAGAGCAGAGTAGAACATGTGGGAGTAAAGAGCGACAACGTCACACAGAGAGTCCATGGGGGGATGCAAGGGGGAGCTAAAACTAACAGCCACCACGGTATATGAAGTAAAGGGAAAGCTCTTACTTCCAGGTCTGTTAATGGGCAGGTTACTCTCCTGTTGTAGTGGGGGAGGAAGAGCCTTTCCTTGGAGATTGATCACACAGTTATCAGCTAGCAGCAGGCACGTGCACAGATAGAGCCCTAGTGTGACGAGTACTGAGGATACGAAGAGGCAGGACGCAGACACAGGAATCAACAATGTAAAGGTTTACTTAACACTGAGCAAGAGAACAACAAAGCGCGCGTACACAACAAGACACTAACAATCACACACAACACAACACTGAACAGTCCAGGGCTATATAGGAGTGGTGATGAGATGATGAGGTGCAGGTGCGCTGAAGGTGTTTAGGGTGCGTTGGGTTTCCATTCCGGTGTTGCCGAGGTGGTGCGCTCAGACCGGTGGCTCAGTAGACCGGCGAATCAGAGCAACGGAGGGGAGCAAAGGGAGGAGACGTGGGTGTCACCTGCCCTTTTGGCCTCCTATGAAAAAAGTGTCCTTATGGTTGGTGACGTTTTTAAAAAACAAATTACTTTTTATTTTATTTTTTTATCTGTTTTCTCTCTTGTAACTTTAAATGCAATGAATTGCCTATCAACTAGATAATTTCTCATGAACGCATGAATCTTGAAAAAAAAAATGCATTGCTGCACTCTTCCTCGTCACATGCATGAGCTACCCACCGGTGCAGAGCGGTGAGTTTGAAATTAATACGGCCAGTAGTTGGTTACTTTGGAGTTTCTAGCATGTGTTATCTCAGGGGGCAACAGCAGTTTGACTCTTTATCAGTAGCATAACCAATTCAAATCAAGTAAAGACTAGCTAACTAGCTGATGAATCTAGCCTACATTAGCGACAGTGTTTCCGCTGCATTCATTTAGTTGTGGCGCTACGTCACGACAAAATCATTGCCGCCACTGCAAACCCCCAAAAACTAAAATGTAACATCATAGTATTTCTACCAAACATACTTTCAATAATATGTCCAGGTACAACACAGTTTTAAAGGTTATTTAGCTCTTTGTGCCACTGTGGCAGCCAAAACTGCCTGTGCACAAAAACTCAGTGCACTGTCTTCGAGACAGAGCGCTAGTCACTGGAGAGACCCTGGGAAAATCTCAATTGCATACTTCTGGCGTCCTCTCTCTTTCTCAAAACCCATTGGATGAGAACGCCAGTGGTCCGGCCCCTCTGACCTTCTCCTCCAATTGGGTTTTGAGAAGGAGGTGAGGAGAGAGGACACGAGGAGTATGCAATTGAGATTCTCTTTCCTAGAGAGACTGCCACCAGTCAGTGGTACGGCATACATATTAGGAACTTTGTCAATCCTCCTCCTCAGACCTCACCCCTCACCTAGTCAAGTCTCAACCCTGCACATTCTCCCATGAGGCGGAGAGAAAATGTTGCTGTTTTAAGGCTAATTTGCTGCAATTCTATACATTTTACAACAGGACAGAGAGTTTTATAGCTAATCTCATGCTATTCTACACTTTTTGCCATGAGGCTGTGAGAAAATGTGCTCTGACATGCACTGCAGTTTTAAAGCTAACTTATTGTAACTTTTGCCTAAACATTTTGCCTTGGCTCATGACATAAAAAAAGAAGAAAACAAAGCGGGAAGTATGTCCTTTTAAAAAGCAACCTGAGCGGACCTTTTGCAACAAAAATGTCCAGAGGAAACACAGATTAGCGATGATCAGCTGTAAAAAGGCCAACCCAGTAGTGCTTCTAGCAAAGATACTTAACTAACATTTCACCTTTGGTTCTAGCTTGCTTAGCCTACAATGTGTGATGAGTGAGTGTGTTTTTGCAGAACATTTTATGTAATTAAGGTGCCCTTTTTTTTTTACTCCGAGCAAAGGTCTGTACATGGCCCTGGCTAGCAGACCCTCAAACCCTCCACCCAGAGGTTGACGTGATATGCAGATTTGGACCTTTCCTCTACCACTTTTATCAGTTGATAAAATATCCTTCGGTAGGATGTCGGTGAGGCTTGATGAGCCTGTGAAGAATGACTGTGAGATTATTCTTTCACACCCCAATGCAGTACAGCAGATAGTCATTATCACCTATCCTTATGCTTTCAACAAGCCCTTTTTCTACCAACAACAAAGTGTTAAATCACCTAAACTCTTGACGGGGCTTGACGACCTTGTTCCCTGGCTGTGTTACATAAGAGGCATCCCAGAAATAGTTGCAATGATATAATTCTGACAGGTTTTCTTTGTGATGTCAGGTTTTATAGAAGTCTTTTAAGGGATCAGAAAAAGGGAAACCAGTACGGTTCTTATACCATAAACTGCATTCGGAAAGTATTCAGACCCCTTGACTTTTTCCACATTTTGTTACATTACAGCCTTATTCTAAAATTGATTAAATCAAACATTTTCCTCATCAATCTACACACAATACCCCATAATGACAAAGCGAAAACAGTTCCTCTGTGGAGATGGGAGAACCTTCCAGAAGGACAACCATCTCTGCAGCACTCCACCAATCAGGCCTTTATGGTAGAGTGGCCAGACGGAAGCCACTCCTCAGTAAAAGGCACATGACAGCCCGCTTGGAGTTTGCCAAAAGGCACCTAAAGACTCTCAGACCATGAGAAACATGATTCTCTGGTCTGATGAAACCAAGATTTAACTCTATGGCCTGAATGCCAAGCGTCACGTCTGGAGGAATCCTGGCACCATCCCTACGGTGAAGCATGGTGGTGACAGTATCATGCTGTGGGGATGTTTTTCAGCAGCAGGGACTGGGAGACTAGCCAGGATTGAGGGAAAGATGAACGGAGCAAAGTACAGAGAGATCCTTCATGAAAACCTGCTCCAGAGCGCTCAGGACCTCAGACTGGGGCGAAGGTTCACCTTCCAACAGGACAACGACCCTAAGCACACAGCCAAGACAACGCAGGAGTGGCTTCGGGACAAGTCTCTGAATGTCCTTGAGTGGCCCAGCCAGAGCCCGGACTTGAACCCGATCTAACATCTCTGGAGAGACCTGAAAATAGCTGTGCAGTGATGCTCCCCATCCAACCTGACAGAGCTTGAGAGGATCTGCAGAGAAGAATGGCAGAAACTCCCCAAATACAGGATTGCCAAGCTTGTAGCGTCATACCCAAAAAGACTCCTCCCGAGTGGCGCAGCGGTCTAAGGCACTGCATCTCAGTGCTTGAGGCGTCACTACAGACCCCCTGGTTCGATTCCAGGCTGTATCACAACCAGCCGTGATTGGGAGTCCCATAGGGCGGCGCACAATTGGCCCAGCGTCGTCCGGGTTTGGCCGGTGTAGGCCGTCATTGTAAATAAGAATTTGTTCTTAACTGACTTGCCTAGTTAAATAAAGGTTAAATAAAATAAATACAAAAAAGACTCTAGGCTGTAATCGCTGCCTAAGGTGTTTCAACAAAGTACTGAATAAAGGGTCTGAATACTTATGTAATTGTGATATCAGTTTTAAAAATTTTTATAAATGAGAAAAAATGTCTAAACCTGTTTTTGCTTTGTCATTATGGGGTATTGTGTGTAGATTGATGAGGGGAAAAAAAACTATTTAATCAATTTAAGAATACGGCTGTAGCGTAACAAATGTGGAAAAAGTCAAGGGGTCTGAATACTTTCTGAATGCACTGCATGTTGGAATAACAGCCTGACCAATGAAACCTGACTGACTCGTGTCTGACAGGATACCTGTTCCTTCTGATTGGCACAATGACAAAAGGTTTGGGTTACTCCTGAGTGGCGCAGTGGTCTAAGGCACTGCATAGCAGTGCTAACTGTGCCACTAGAGATCCTGGTTCGAATCCAGGCTCTGTCGCAGCTGGCCGTGACCGGGAGACTCATGGGCGGTGCACAATTGGCCCAGTGTTGTCCAGGGTAGGGGATGGAATGGCCAGCAGGGATGTAGCTCAGTTGATAGGGCATGGCGTTTGCAACGCCAGGGTTGTGGGTTTGATTCCCATGGGGGGCCAGTATAAAAAAATATGTATTCACTAACTGTAAGTCGCTCTGGATAAGAGCGTCTGCTAAAATGTAAATGTTTGATTTTTTTCTGTTGTAGGGCAGGTGATTAATGAGCAAATACTACCAAATATGTCCCAATAGTTGAAACTCACCACAGAATGAGACAATGTGGCTGCTGTCTTCATGTACAAACTTTCTGGTGACAGCCTCTTCCATGATCTGCTTCACCTGTGAATGACAGGGGAGAGAGAGAGAGAGAGAGAGAGAGAGAGAGAGAGAGAGAGAGAGAGAGAGAGAGAGAGAGAGAGAGAGAGAGAGAGAGAGAGAGAGAGAGAGAGATTAAGCAGAGCCGGAAGAGTGCATGCCAAGTTCAATGGATGAGTCATCCAACTTGCATTAAGCAGATCTCAGATGGATAGGGCTGAAGAGGGTTGATGTTGGGTGAGTGGGGTGCTAATTTACCCACACCTCTGGGGCCCACTTCACAGACTGGCTTTACAATCAAACCTCTTTAGATGTGAATTGAGAAAGAGAGGGTGAGAGCACAGTGTCGCAGGCTTTTCATGTCTCGCCAAGGCTGGCACTATACGACACCTGCAATTGATTCGGTGACGTCACAACCAGCATAAACCTCAGTCAAACACACAGCCTCGGAAAAACAAGCGGGAGGAGAGTTTTAAAGTACAAACGTTTGGTATTATCGACACCAGGGTTTCCCCCTTGCTGACCCGGACACAGGCTGCTCACAGGGACAACATCAGACCTGCGCCCCAGATGCCTGATAACTCTGACCCTGGTGAATATGAGGACATCTCCTAGCACTGCCATTGCTCTGTGTCCTGGAAATCAGCCTGCAGATAGAGCAGCCCAGATAGCACTCATTTCCTGTTGTATTGAGTCTTTCCTCAGAGGAGATATTACACTGCACGAAGAGAGGGGGAGCCTGCCTAGAGAACAAAGCCACAAAGCCACAAACACACGCACACACAAACATCTGTGCAGACATAGAATACATTTGAATATCACTACAGAGGGCAGATTTTAAAAAGAATGCTCCATTGAAGCAAAATATTTCAAATGACTTGATTGTTTAACTGCCTCTATGTTGCAATCTCTGATTGTAAATCTAGTATGGTTAAACAGACCTGGGTCCGGTTTCCCAAAAGCATCTGAAGGCTATGTTCATCATTAGAACCTTCGTAGGAGAACAGCTAAGTGCGTCGTACGATATCCACTAAACATAGAATCAAGATGTTTAACTGTCTCTCTGTGACTGCCGATAACTTCATAACGAAGTTGACTACAAACACAAAGTTGCCAATGTCTTTGCAATTGTTAAAAACAAGCAAAGGATAAAAAGATGCATCAAATGAAAACTGGGATGACTGCAGTAAAAGATAAATAGCCTACAGTATAGGCTACATAGGCCTATATAATTAAATAATATTGAAATAAATGTAATGTTCATTCAATTGAGTTCTATTTTGCTAATTGTAGGCTACTGCCTGTAATTTGCCTAAATATATTTAATGATGTGTAACATGTGCACAATGATGTGCCAAATGAATCTGTGATTGATTGCATTATTATAGGGTAAGCATTAGAATAAGCCGCCTCAATATTTACAGCCATTAGGTGATATTATCGCTCTAGGAGCTGATCCGTCGTCAGTATTGTGGAAAAATTATAATGTTAAGGTAACATTTGAATGGAGAAAGCTGATCAGAGAGCAGCACTGCCTTTCTTTCGACACACTTAGCGAATGTTCTTTCTGCGTGGTGTTTTGGTGTCACGATCGTCGTAAGAAGCGGACCAAGGCGCAGCGTGATAACCGTACATCTTTATTACGTACTTAACACACGATCAAAACAAAACAACAAACGATACGTGAAGTCCTAGGTTATACACCAAAACAAACCTTACGGAACAAGATCCCACAAAATAACAGTGCCAAACAGGCTGCCTAAGTATGGTCCCCAATCAGAGACAACAAGCTACAGCTGCCTCTGATTGGGAACCACCCTGGCCAACATAGAAATACAAGAACTAGAACACAAACCTAGAAAACTAAACAATGAAACTTACACACCCTGGCTCAACATATAAGAGTCCCCAGAGCCAGGGCGTGACATTTGGGAAAAACATATTCGGCTATTGTAGGAAAAATGCATCGTTAAAACACTTGTAAACCAAAGTTCCATCGCTATCGGGAAACCAGGCCCTGAAGGTAAGATGATCTGTCATAAGTGTAATAATTCCATTATTTTACTTTTAGATTGTGTGTATTATGTGTATTGTTGTGAATTGTTGATATTACTGCACTGTTGGAGCTAGAAACACAAACATTTCACTACAGTGCCTTGCAAAAGTATTCATCCCCCTTGGCGTTTTTCCTATTTTGTTGCATTACAACCTGTAATTTAATGGATTTTTATTTGAATACACAAAATAGTCCAAATTGGTGAAGTGAAATGAAAAAAAATTCAAAAAAATAAATCACGGAAAAGTGGTGCATGCACATGTATTCACCTCCTTTGCTATGAAGCCCCTAAATAAGATCTGGTGCAACCAATTACCTTCAGAAGTCACATAATTAGTTAAATAAAGTCCACCTGTGTGCAATCTAAGTGTCATATGATCTGTCACATGATCTCAGTATATACAATGGGGAGAACAAGTATTTGATACACTGCCGATTTTGCAGGTTTTCCTACTTACAAAGCATGTAGAGGTCTGTAATTTGTATCATATGTACACTTCAACTGTGAGAGACGGAATCTAAAACATCCAGAAAATCACATTGTATGATTTTTAAGTAATTAATTTGCATTTTATTGCATGACATAAGTATTTGATCACCTACCAACCAGTAAGAATTCCGGCTCTCACAGACCTGTTGGTTTTTCTTTAAGAAGCCCTCCTGTTCTCCACTCATTACCTGTATTAACTGCACCTGTTTGAACTCGTTACCTGTATAAAAGACACCTGTCCACACAATGAATCAAACAGACTCCAACCTCTCCACAATGGCCAAGACCAGAGAGCTGTGTAAGGACATCTGGGATAAAATTGTAGACCTGCACAAGGCTGGGATGGGCTACAGGACAATAGACAAGCAGCTTGGTGAGAAGGCAACAACTGTTGGCGCAATTATTGGAAAATGGAAGAAGTTCAAGATGACGGTCAATCACCCTCGGTCTGGGGCTCCATGCAAGATCTCACCTCGTGGGGCATCAATGATCATGAGGAAGGTGAGGGATCAGCCCAGAACTACACGGCAAGACCTGGTCAATGACCTGAAGAGAGCTGGGACCACAGTCTCAAAGAAAACCATTAGTAACACACTACGCCGTCATGGATTAAAATCCTGCAGCGCACGCAAGGTCCCCCTGCTCAAGCCAGCTCATGTCCAGGCCCATCTGAAGTTTGCCAATGACCATCTGGATGATCCAGAGGAGGAATGGGAGAAGGTCATGTGGTCTGATGAGACAAAAATAGAGCTTTTTGGTCTAAACTCCACTCAACGTGTTTGGAGGAAGAAGAAGGATGAGTACAACCCCAAGAACACCATCCCAACCGTGAAGCATAGAGGTGGAAACATCATTCTTTGGGGATGCTTTTCTGCAAAGGGGACAGGACGACTGCACCGTATTGAGGGGAGGATGGATGGGGCCATGTATTGCGAGATCTTGGCCAACAACCTCCTTCCCTCAGTAAGAGCATTGAAGATGGGTCGTGGCTGGGTCTTCCAGCATGACAACGATCCGAAACACACAGCCAGGGTAACTAAGGAGTGGCTCTGTAAGAAGCATCTCAAGGTCCTGGAGTGGCCTAGCCAGTCACCAGACCTGAACCCAATAGAAAATCTTTGGAGGGAGCTGAAAGTCCGTATTCCACAGCGACAGCCCCGAAACCTGAAGGATCTGGAGAAGGTCTGTATGGAGGAGTGGGCCAAAATCCCTGCTGCAGTGTGTGCAAACCTGGTTAAGACCTACAGGAAACGTATGATCTCTGTAATTGCAAACAAAAGTTTCTGTACCAAATATTAAGTACTGCTTTTCTGATGTATCAAATACTTATGTCATGCAATAAAATGTAAATTAATTACTTAAAAATCATACAATGTGATTTTCTGGATTTTTTAGATTCCGTCTCTAACAGTTGAAGTGTACCTATGATACAAATTACAGACCTCTACATGCTTTGTAAGTAGGAAAACCTGCAAAATCGACAGTGTATCAAATACTTGTTCTCCCCACTGTATACACACCTGTTCTGAAAGGCCCCAGAGTCTGCAACACCACTAAGCAAGGGGCACCACCAAGCAAGCGGCACCATGAAGACCAAGGAGCTCTCCAAACACGTCAGGGACAAAGTTGTGAAGAAGCACAGATCAGGGTTGGGTTATAAAATAATATCCTACACTTTGAACATCCCACGGAGTACCATTTAAATCCATTATAAAAAAATGGAAAGAATATGGCACCACAACAAACCTGCCAAGAGAGGGCCACCCACCAAAACTCACGGACCAGGCAAGAAGGGCATTAATCAGAGAGGCAACAAAGAGACCAAAGATAACCCTGAAGGAACTGCAAAGCTCCACAGCGGAGATTGGAGTATCTGTCCATAGGACCACTTTAAGCCGTACACTCCACAGAGCTGGGCTTTACGGAAGAGTGGCCAGACAAAAGCCATTGCTTAAAGAAAAAATAAGCTAACACGTTTGACGTTTGCAGCTGTAATTGTTGCAAAAGGTGGCTCTACAAAGTATTGACTTTGGGGGGATGAATAGTTATGCACGCTCAAGTTTTGTGTTTTCTTGTCTTATTTCTTGTTTGTTACACACAAAAAATATATTTTGCATCTTCAAAGTGGTAGGCATGTTGTGTAAATCAAATGATACAAACCCCCCAAAAAATCCATTTTAATTCCAGGTTGTAAGGCAACAAAATAGGAAAAATGCCAAGGGGGGTGAATACTTTCGCAAGCCACGGTATGTGACCAATAAAATTTGATTTGATTTAATTTAGAGGTGGTTCAGTGAACTACGATCATGTGATGAGTAACCTTGCCAAAGACCTGTAGACTTGCTAATGTCCTAGAATCAGATCAGTGGGCAAACACAGTCTTTTGGCGTACAGGAGAACCCAGTGTTTGAACCCAGACGTTCACATTGGTGCATATGGTCTCTGTGAGGATAAGAGCTCAAAAGGGTGTAAAGTGTA